TTTATTAAAAAAAAAAACATAGTGTTCAAAAACAAGCAAATACGTTCGGGGGAGAAAAAATGAGTAGTGAATGGTACATGGACAATTTCTGGAATTCTAGTTAACATTTTGTTTCTTAACCCGGGTAAGTCGTAACATAATGTATTTATTTGGGGATAATTCATTAAACCATATATTTATGACTTTTGTCATACCTCAATAAAAAATTTAATTAAAATAATTTTAAGCTTATTTTGTTATCATTACCTTACTATAACCCAAGTTTTTTTTCATCTACTTATGGGTTTCTTTCAATGAGCTTTGTTTTTATTCTCTAAAATGGTGGCTTCCATAAACAATCCAAAAATAATGGTATTACCCCTTCACATATTTGCCAGAAAGTAACTATGCTATTAAACAGGACAAAAAAGGAGCAAGGAAGTAATAATCCTGGCTGAGCCAGAATTCCAGTACCTCACACTGTGATAGACTGCACCAATTCTTCCCCCTTCCTTTACCCCACTCATTGCCACCTGACATTGGAATTCCTCTGAATAAAGAGGCCAAGTATATATCCCAACTCCTTGACTTTTGTGTTCTGTCACATGACTTGTCTTGGCCAACAGAATATTAGCTGGTATGATGTGACCAAAGGCTTGAAAGTTGCCTGTGCAGGTGGGTCTGCTCTTTGGCACTTCTGCAATCACCACGAGACTATGCCAGGCTAGACTGCAAAAAAAGAGACATACAGAGAAGTACAGCTCCAGCTGAATCCACTGACCTGCAACCAACCAAGAGACAGTTGCAGGAACACAACCACCTAAGAGAGAGTACAACCAATATCGACTGACCACCAGAGAACTCAGATGCATGACCTAAGTAAGTGCTTGTGGTTGCATGCCACTGGCATTTTCTCTTTTTGTACTTGTATAGCAATAACTCACCAAGACACAGATCAACGGAATTTTTCCTCTCAAGAAACAGAAACATCCTGCTGGATTTAAGATTAAGATTTAAGAAAACCTCCTAAATTAAAATTTCCTTTAAAATTTTAATAATATTTTTTTTTTAAAGATTTTATTTATTTATTTGACAGAGAGAGACAGAGCGAAAGAGGGAACACAAGCAGGGGGAGTGGGAGAGGGAGAGGCAGGCTTCCCGCGGAACAGGGAGCCCAATGCGGGACTCGATCCCAGGACCCCGGGATCATGACCTGAGCCAAAGGCAGACGCTTAACGACTGAGCCACCCAGGCGCCCCAAAATTTTAATAATATTTTAACTTATTCATTTTTTTGAAATTACAAGAAAGTCTTTAGCTATGTATACACACATATTTGTGTACATATGTATTTTACACAATTGAGGTCATACAATAGAGTTTTGTACCAGACTTATTTGTCACTAAATATTATATCACACACACATTTCTGTGTCACTAAAAATTCTTGCAAATTGTGGTTTTATTTGTCGTAGTATCCCATCATATGAATGTACCATGATTTATATCCCTATTTACTTATATTGAACATTTACGATATTTCTTATCCTTAATCCCATCTAAGCTGTTCCCTCCATGACAACCAAATCTTGTCACTAAATAATCTCATTTTCAAGCAGTCAATATTCCAAGCAGCAGCTGTATCTTTCCATCTCATTTCCTGAAATATGTTCTATTTTATGAAAACGTACCATATTCTCACGTAAAGGAATCTGTATATACTATATTTATCAATTGTATTAATACCTAAAACTTTACTCTTTGAGTTTCTAGAGACCACTGCTGCTAAATCGTTGCTTCTAGGATTGACTGTTCATTGTAGCTAAGACCTATTTTAACCTGAATTCATAGCAATGTGTCCACAAATTAGGACATTATTCCTGTGGGTAAACAGGATTCATTTCATGACAATCCACTTTATAACCTTATTGTAAAATTCATTACCTTTTATGATAATTTTATATAAATAAAGGTAAAATGATTAAGGAATATATTTTAGGCTTCTCTCAAGTGAAGGTCAAGTTATGGCAAGTTATTCTTCAAGTTATCCTAAGCTAAGGAGCTTAATAAGATTCAGATTTTACAATTTGTAATCATTATTCTTTTTGGTTTTTGTCTGTTTTGTTTCAAGTTTTTATTTATCCTCCAGTTAGTTAATATATAGGGTAATACTACTTTCAGGAGTAGAATTTAGAGGTTCATCACCAACATACAACACCCACTGCTCATCACAGCTGCCTCCTTAATACCCATCACCCATTTAACCCCTCCCCCTGCCTACCCTCATTCTAGCAAACCTCAGTTTGTTCATTATAGTTAAAAGTCTGTTTGATAGAGACGAACCATGAGAGACTATGGACTCTGAGAAATAATCCAAGGGTTTCGGGGTGGGGGGGTTGGAGGATGTGGCAGCCCGGTGATGGGCATTAAGGAGGGCAAGAGTGGTGATGAGCACTGGGTGTTATATGCAAATAATGAATCATGGAACACTACATCAAAAACTAATGATGTACTGTATGGTGACTAACATAATACTAAAAAAAAAAACTGATGGTTTGCTTCTCTCTTTTTTTTCCCCCCTATGTTTCTAATTCTTATTCTTAACTGGCTGACATTCAAATCATAATGCTCCATGACCTCGATGATTTAGATATTGATATTTATATACTATAGGAACTGAGTGATAAAATCATAGTAAGGCTCCTATGACAGTTAGTTTTATATGACAAATTGGCTCGGCTATGATGCCCAGTTATTTGATCAAATCAATCTACATGTTATTGTGAAGATTTTTTTTTTAGAGGTGATTAGCATTTAAATCAGTAGAGTAAAGCTTCTCCACAACGTGGGTGGGCCTCATCCAATTATGAGAAGGCCTTAAAAACAAAAACTGAGGTTTCCCAAAAAATAATTCTCAACACTGCCTGAGTCTCCAGTCTGCTGCCCTGCAGAATTCAGACTCAAGACTATAATATCAACCCTTACCTGAACGCCAGCCTGCCACCTTGCCCTACACATTTCAAATTTGCCAGCCCTCACAATTATATGAGCCAATTCTTCAAAAGCAATCAATCTCTGTCTGTGTGTGTGTGTCTGTGTCTCTGTGTGTCTGTGTGTATGTGTCTCCATCCTACTGATCTGTTTCTCCGGAGAATCCTTACTAACAGAGCTCCCACTCAAAAAAACACTTGGGAAGCACCTATAGTATACATCCAATACTGTGTTAAAAAATATTAAGATGAGGGGTGCCTGGGTGGCTCAGTTGTTAAGTCTCTGCCTTCGGCTCAGGTCATGGTACCAGGGTGCTGGGATTGAGCCC